TGGGCTGAGGGACCCCCCGATTGCACAAATTTTTGTGCACCGGGCCTCTAGTATCCTAATAGACAAACATGGTAATTGACTGTACCTTCATTACGCCTCCCATTGGCTAATCATCATGATATGCAAATTAACCGCCAACAAAGATGGCTGCTAATTTGCATGCTGCAGGCAGGGCGGGTCAGCGCCATCCCGCCTGCCCTGCCTCCATCCAGGCCTGCTATTGCGACCCGGGGTGGCGGTGTAGGGGAGCATGGCTCCTCTGTCACTCCAGCTTCATCACAGCTCCCTTAGGGGCCTAAGTCTTTAGTTGGACACCCCCAGAGGGTTCCCTGGCTGCCAGAAGGATGTCTGACTGCAAGCTTAGGCCTGATCCCCCTGGGAGTGGGCCTAAGTCAACAGGTGGACATCCCCCAAGGGGTCCTGGACTGCAAATGGGCGCAGCCCGTGCTGAGGGACACCCCCTCTCCCCCCAGTGCACAAATTTTTCTGCACCAGGCCTCTAGTTGACATATAATACTGTATGTTTAAGGTGTACAACATAATGATTTGATATATTCATATACTGTGAAATGATTACCACAAAAAATTCAGCTCACACACCCATCACCTCACATAGTAACCATTCTTTCTTTTTTTTTTTTTGGTATGGGTAGGTTTTTAAAATATGTATATGTGAAGTTTGTATATGTGGAAAAGAGAAAGTATTTGAGGATGAAAACTAAGGCTTAGAAATTTGTGCCTTAGGGAAATAGTAAGCATTGGGGAAAATTTCCTTGGATGTTCAGGAGATCTAGGGAGAATTTCAGCCTCTCTCCTATCCATTCCCCATCCCACCCCCCAAAAAAGAACAAAATCCATCTGATAAAGTACTATTCTAGTTTCTTTTACTCAGCAGTTTGGTGTTCTTCCCAGGACACAAAAGGAACTCAGAAATGACATACTCACAAAAAGATGTTAATTCCACCCAACATGATAACACATTGCTTGTTTTGCAATCTGTTACTTCACTAAGGCAGCCCCTCCCTGCTGTTGACCCAAATAACACTTGCAGCTCTTGGGGATGGGTGTTTCTCTCTCTCTCTCTCTCAACTTAATTTTGACCTTTGAAAAATACCACGCATGCAAATAGACACAGACACATCCCTATTTTCTCACACTTGTGTGTGTGTTGCGGGGGGCGGGGGGGTCGTATATTTGAGTGACTGGGTCTGTCCATTCCAGAAATAAGGTAAGTATGTAAAATGATTGTATTTACAGATTAATACAAATTCATGAATTTATGTTAATAATAGCTCTTAATTCAAATGAATTATTATTTTCACCAAGGATGCAACTCTTTTAAATCTGCTATGTTCAGTAGCAGATTTACTTACACCTAGGTTTACAGCGCATTTTTTATGCTGACTGCTTTTAATAATTCCATAACAACAGATTCTGGGAGAAAGGAATGAATGGGCAAGGGGAAGTATTTTTCCCAAATGAACCTAGAAGAGGGTCAGCAGAAGTCATGAGAGCTCTGTTTTGAGTTATTTCTATCTTAAGTGTAAGATACTCTGGATGTCCTTGAGCCGCTGTGTATCAGTGGTGTGCACAGGCCGAGAAACCAAGGTCTTTGGGCTCTGGGTTTTTCTGATTCATGGGTGTCATATTTCCTTTCAAGACTTTATTCTTCATCACTTTAGTACTTTTCCAAATGTAATGATTTAAGAGAAAACACCAATAGCAAGATTATTCTTATTAGCATTATCTTTGGATCCTGTGACTATATTGTAATACTGGCTGGCTGTTTTGAGGTCAGAACATAAATATGTTTTTCCACTTTGAATAGATTATTTTTCCCTTATGAAAAGTGAAATATATTAACACTAATACTGTCAACTTATCCTGTTAATAATTATTCATCTGATTCTTCTATTTTTGTCACATTATTGTACCACATAATATTATTTTTTAAAATAATTCTTTATTGTTGAAAGTATTACATATGTCCCTCTTTTTTCCCCATTGACTCCCTCCAGCACCCCCACCCCCCTACTACATAATATTCTAATGAAAATAAATGGGCAGTTCTGCAATTTTATTATTTTCTGTTACTTTCCTCTTATTAAAACAATGAATGAATCACCCATTATAGGATTTCGAATACCAGATTAACTTTTTGAACGGACAGTCTGTGAAACCAAGGGCATTTTGGTGACTAAAATACTTTCTTCCCTCCATTTGTAGATAAATTGAAGGGAGGGTATGATTCAGATACTTTGTAAGCAACTGGGAGGGGATAAAACCACATTCAAATGGAGCCAGCTTTGACTCTCCTCCCCTCCTGCAGCTCTGTCTCCTCCTCCTGACTGCAATGAATCCTAAGCCCAACAACCACATAAAAGAGGATGGGCATCTTCCATGTTTCTTCACTGATGCTCTGTTCGAGTCCTCCGTGACCACTTAGACCTGCACACATAGACTCACACCTGCAGTGTCTGCCTGGCCGGTCTCTTTCATACCTGAGTCCTCACCTGCCTACCTTGTGTGAAAGACCCTGAGCATTCACTGAATGGTTTCCTTGAATTCCCCCGTCCTGTGTGTATGCACACCTGGTTCTCTGATGTGTGTCTGCTTCTTAGGAATGTGCTTGTCCCACGGTATCATAGACCTCTTGAGTTTTAACGGAAGTCCCCTTCCTAGCCCTTTCCTGGCCAGTCCAGTTTTGTAGCTACCCATGCCCCTGCAAGATACCCCCGCTAAAGCCAGATAGGGTGTTCTGGAAAATTAGTAATCATCACAGAGATGATAGTAGTATGGTTATGGTAAAAAATATATATATATTTTAGAGCTACATACTGAAATATTTATGGAAAAATAATATTGGCTTCAAAATAATTATTGGAAGAAAACATAGGTATTATATTTAAAATTAAAATATCAGTTGTGAATTGGCAATGGTTAAAGCTAAACATTGGTTTCATGAAAAGCATAATATTATTTTCTCTACTTTTGTATATGTTTAAGTTAGCATATATAATAATTAAAACCCATGCTGATCCTCTAACCAGACTTCTTCGCTTGAATGTAATTAGCATTGATCTCCTAATGTTTTAGAGCATTTTAGGACCCTTAGAAAGTATCTCCAGCAAACTCATGTTACAGGTGAAGTAGTTAACTCCCTTTGCCAAACAGCATACTCCCTAACGAGTAGCTGAAGGAGGCCTAGTAATCATGTCTCCTAATTTTCTAATCCAGCCCTGCCAAAGTGTCAGGAGAACTGCTAGTTGGACCTCACAGGGTGTCCCACCTCATTGTGTGGAAACCCTTCTCCTTTCTTGAGCAATTGCTTCCTTTGTCTTAGGCAAAGAAAGGTTCTGATGTCAGATACCGCATCATGATTTATTTCATTCTCTCATCACTTGGTTGTGTGGCCATTTGGTTCTAAGTGTTTATCACCCCAATATTTCCAAGTCAATAACCAAAGCTGCTGTTTCAGAGAGCTTTTGTAAAGCAGAGAATCATTTGGTAAAGATGCTTTCTGAATCCGGACATATTTCTGTGTAAATTTGTAAGTGGAGGTGAAGTTCTGCATCTCTCTCCGTCATAACCACCTGTGCATGAGGTTTGCTCCTCTTCTAAGGAGGGTTTCCTGCAGGGAGGTGAATTCCTGAACAATGCCCACGTTATCCACTTGGCCCCAGAGACTAGATTGGTCTGGAGAAACAAAGTCTGATTGTAGCTCTGAGACAGTTTCCCAGGGTTTGGTAAAATCTTGGACCAAGGAATGGGATCAGTCACGGAATTTTAAGCTGAAATGAGCCTTCCTCTCCATATGACACCTGGAGAGAAAAAAAAGAGATGAGATCAAAAGATCAGACTTTTTGTTGTTGTTTTTTGTTATAATTTATTATTTTTTTAATTTTGTTTTATTGCTTAAAATATTACAAAGAGTATTACATATGTCTCCTTTCCCCCCCCTTGACCTTCCCCCAGCCTCCCCTACACCCCTGTGTCTTGTGTCCATTGGGTTTAAAGTATTACATATGAATCCTTTTCCCCCCATTGACCTCTCCCCACTCGCTCCCACCTCCCCCAGCACATGCCCTCACTCCCCTACTGACTGTGTCCATTGGTTATGTTTATATGCATGCATACAAGTCCTTTGGTTGAGAGAGATCAGGCTTTTATTAGACTGTTTATAGCTGGGTTTCTTTCTTTTTCAGATGGATGAGTCAAATGATGATATCGACCAAATGTTCAGCAATTTGCTGGGAGAGATGGATCTTTTGACCCAGGTAAATCTTCTTCTTTAACTATCAAATTAAGAAAGGAAAAAAATGGGGTTACATAATTAGATTTTAATCTGAAAAGAGAGCTATCTTTTTAAAAAATGGAGATTGACGATATTATATATTGCTGATGTAACTGTGACAGTGGGAAGGGGGCAGAGGGGCGCCAGGAAATAAAGCATTTTTCCTAATTGTACCTGAGTTCAGTTGATTGAATGCATTAGTCACACATACCTTCTGTTTTGGCAATTTCCATGCTCATCGTGGCCAATCATTTAACTAATGGAGGGATTTTCCGCAAGTAAATCCCTCCCACAACTACCAGCACTGAACAATCTCCCCTGCACTTACCTTTATAGAAAGACTAGGTAAGAAAATTAGTAAAATTTTTGACCAATTTTTGAGGAAATGCTACATGTTAAAGGACTAAAAGGGAGTTACTATAGCCTCTTTAAACTGTAAGAACTTTGCCCCCTCAGGTAGCATGAAAGCCACTCAGCCATAGGCTTCAGGTCTGAGAAAGACCAGATTAACTCAGGGTCAGTCACTAGTGACTGGAGCCCAGAGGCTGCTGACCCAGGTTACAGAGTCAGGCAAACTGGAGTGCCTTGCAGTGTTCTCATAAGTCAGAGCGGCGTTGATTCATCACTTCCTGCATAAAATATTGAAATAAAAACAACCCAATATTCCTAAATAAGGTTGGGATCTTAAACTTTTCTACAAAATAAATAAGAAATAGTGTGTGTTTTTAAAGGAAAATGTATAGTACATATGTTACAAATGCATCATTACAGGAAATTTTTTCTATTGTTTGTAAAAATTAACTTTCTCATTCTCATCATTCTCCATTGGCCTGTTTTGTTTCAAGATGTACTTCCTAGAATAATTTTTAATTTTTAATATTATGCGGTGGGGGGAGAGAAATCACAGAAAACATTCTCAAATAAGAATATCATTTTAAAACAACATATGTAGAGAGAAAATGTGTAAACAATACATGACTTTTGACTTAATGATTAAATGTGCTATAAAATGTTAGTCTCATGATTAACTTTCCGGGGGGGCGGGGATCTGTTTCCACAGAGTTTAGGAGTCGACACTCTTCCTCCTTCGGACCCTAAACCTCCCAGGGCTGAGTTTAACTACAGTGTGGGTTTTAAGGATTTAAATGGTAAGCATAATAATTTCTTTCCTTAAATAATTTTAAATTATAATATTGACTAAAATTTGTGTGGAACTACAATTTGAAAACAAAATTTAAGGAACCTGGACACGGTAGGGAGTGTAATTTTTATAATCCTGAATTTCAGATAGCACTTTTTGTGTCTGGATTGAACTGAAAGGGCAAAAAAATGTTTTTGCCTGTAATGAAAGGTAACACTATTCTGCAATTGTGTAGTGTCAAAACTCTCTTAATTGTTTTTTAAGAACTAAAGGGAATTTTTATCTAAGCCTTTAGAGCAGCGGTTCTCAACCTGTGGGTCATGACCCCTTTGGGGATTGAACGACCCTTTCACAGGGGTCACCCAAGACCATCCTGCATATCAAATATTTACATTATGATTCATAACAGTAGCAACATTACAGTGATGAAGTAGCAACAAAAATAATTTTATGGTTTGGGGTCACCACAACATGAGGAACTGTATTAAAGGGTCTCAGCATTAGGAAGGTTGAGAACCACTGCTTTAGAGAAACAAAGCACAGTAATATAAAAAAGTAATAAGTAAATGTTTCTTCAAGGATAATATTGAACTGTTTGTTAGATAATGATTGATAATATATGAATGGATGCTTCCAAATATAATATATTTTAATTTCTATATAATTTGATATATTTGCTCTGTTTGACATTTTTATTCTTCCTGAGATTGTCATGTTATTTTATTAACAAAACTATCTTTTTTATTTAGTGCAGAGACAATCTTTAGCCCACATGCTAGTCACATTAAGTGAACTTTGAAGTAATCACCTCCAAATGAATGAAAATTCATTGCAAATCTTGAAAAAGATTTTCCAAAGACTGGCAGTGCCTACCAAAAATATGAAAAACAAAATAATAGAGAAATCCAGTTACAGAAATCCAGAGTTCCAAGTTTTATTTCTGACACTCATTGGGTTTCTTTGTTTCTGTTATTTTCAGTAATATTTTTTTATAAACACTTAGGTGCCAATGCCTGTACCTTGATATATTATAATACACCTCTTCCAATTTTCTTTTTTCCCCCATCCTCTTTTCTATTATTTGCTATCTTCCTATCTAGTAAAGAGGAATATGCTAATTGACCCTCACACCATCACAAAGATGTCAGCACCAACAGCCAATAAGGAGGGGATATGCTAATTGACTGCCCCGCCCTCAAAGATGGAGGTACCCACAGCCAATAAGTAGTGAATATGCTAATTGACTGCCACACCCTCAAAGATGGTGGTGCCCACAGCCACAAGAAGGCAGCCCCCAGTCCCTTCAGCCCCGTCAGGGCAGCAGGCGCACGGCAAAGCCGGTCCTGCCTCCAGAGACCCCCAGTCCCCTCAGCCCCAGGGCTGCCCAAGGCACAGGCAAGCCTCGGATGTCAGCTGCCCAGCCTCCCAGGGCTGCCCAAAGGCTCAGGTAACCAAGGCTGGCCGAGGCTTGCACTGCCCAACAATCTGTCACTATGATGCTCTCTGACCACCAGGGAGCAGACACTCAATGCAGGAGCTGCCCCCAACCGGCAGACCCCAGGCCTGAAAAGGCAGGTGCAGCGGGGGGTTCTCAATCACTCCGCTAGTCACCCCACAGAGGGAGGCAACTGACGGCTGTGAGGAGGGCAGAGCTGGTGAGCAGGTGGCACTAGGCAGGCCAAGGCAGGTGCCAGCAGGGACCTGCTAGTCACCCCACAGATCAGCCCTGATCACTAGCCAGGCCTAGGGAGCTTACCCGTGCACAAATTTGGTGCACCAGGTCTCTATTATAATTTATTTTTCCTGGCTGTTATTTCCATCATAACATTGAATAAAAGAAGGTAAACTATAAATCATTTTTGCATAGGTAACATTCATGAAATTTCAAAAAAAATACACTTTCATGACAATTATAACATTAATAGATAGCATATACTTGCAGACATGAGCAATGAAGATTTGCCTTTCCACACTCATATATGTAACCTTTTCTCTCCTCCCTTTTTTTATAACGACATCTAAGTTTTCTTCTCCCGCAAATTTCAGTCATACAATACAGTGCTATTAATTATGCTCACCATTAGACCCTCAGACCTTATTCATCTTATAACTGAAAGTTTTTACCCTTTGCCAGCTTCTCCTTATTGCCCTACACCCACCCTCAATCCCTCAAGACCAGTATTCAAATATTATTCTGAAAAGGACCTTTATTCCATTTTTTCAGGCACAACTCTTTGTTTTGATTATTAACGTAATTTTCCCTTATCAGAATCCTTAAATGCACTGGAAGACCAAGATCTAGATGCGCTCATGGCAGATCTGGTAGCAGATATAAGTGAAGCTGAACAGAGGACAATCCAGGCACAGAAAGAGTCTTCTCAGGGTTCGTATCATCCGGCCCCTCCGGAAGTGTCACATTCCAGTGGCGCAGCCTCTCCTGGTTACGGAGCAAATGTCGTTGCCACTAGTATGAGCCAATATGAGGATGATTTACCGCCCCCACCAGCAGACCCCATGTTAGACCTGCCTCTGCCACCACCACCTCCAGAACCTCTCTCTAAGGTAAGCGCCTGGGGCAGAGACGGCAGGACCTCTGCTACCTATCATTTTTACTTTCTTCAAAGTGAGGGTGACATTTATAAGTTTGTACCCCAAAAGCTCTGAGATGGTAAGAAACAAGGATACTGAGTATGTTCATTGGAAAGGCAGAGTTCTCTAAAAATAAGACCCTTAGGTGTGTATAAAGAACATATTAAGGCCATAATCAGGAATTATAGTTTGGCTAAAATCTGTATTTATATGCAGCACTTCCTAATAATAATCAACTTTTAAGGGTGTTTTATTAACTTGGAATGAACTGTGGAACTGATTTATACATTTCTGTGTCGCTGGTGCTAACCCAGCACATGAAGAATAGAAAGCATTCCTTCCATATTTTTGAATTGAACTAAATGGAATTTTGCTAAATTGGTCATCCCTGTTCAGTAGGGCAAAGATATATCTAAGAATTACTTGTAAAGTTATAGTTAGGGAAGGATGTTGTGGACAGGCAGGTGATGAGTATTTGATATTAATACATTTGTAAATACTGGGAAAATAACTAGACAGTTGATGTGGTCATTATTTGGGACATCATCTTATAACATTTCTCTCATAAAAGTGAAAAAAACGCCAAACCGGTTTGGCTCAGTGGATAGAGCGTCGGCCTGCGGACTGAAAGGTCCCGGGTTCGATTCCGGTCAAGGGCATGTGCCTTGGTTGCGGGCACATCCCCGGTAGGAGGTGTGCAGGAGGCAGCTGGTCGATGTTTCTCTCTCATCGATGTTTCTAACTCTCTATCCCTCTCCCTTCCTCTCTGTAAAAAATCAATATGCGTTGTGAATAAAGATTCAGCTGAGGCCCTAACCGGTTTGGCTCAGTGGATAGAGCGTCGGCCTGTGGACTCAAGGGCCCCAGGTCCGATTCCGGTCAAGACCATGTACCTTGGTTGCGGGCACATCCCTGGTGGGGAGTGTACAGGAGGCAGCGCTGGTCGATGTCTCTCTCATCGATGTTTCTAACTCCTTTTCCTTCTCCCTTCCTCTCTGTAAAAAATCAATAAAATATAAAAAAAAAGTGAAAAAAACTTTTAAGATTTCTTAGAGTAAAGCACTTCCAAAATGTTTTAGCCGTGGCCAGTTGCTCAGTGGTTAGAGCGTCCACCTGGGGACCAAACAGTCACAGTTTGATTCCTGGTCGAGGGCACGTACTTCAGTTGCAGATTCCAGCCCCACCCTGGACAGGGCACATGCAACTAATCAATGTGTCTCTCACACTTCGGTGTTTCTATCTCTTTCTCTCCCTCTCTCTCTTTCTCCCCCTCCTCCCTCCCTTCCATGCTCTAAAAATCAATGGAAACTCAGGTGAGGATTAAAATATATATTAGAGTAAGAATATCACTCAATTTCTTATGACTTCCACAATTGTTGAACCGTGTGATGGTTGGTGTTCATAAATATGACCCTAGTAACCCTGAAAGTTCCTATAATGCCTTTAGAATGAACAGATATTAAATATAAATCAAATATTAAATCATGTTCATTGCTATATTATCTATTTATTGTAGAAAAATTATTTAAAAATTGGTGATCCATAGCCCGGCCGGTGTGCTCAGTGGTTGAGCGTCAACCCAGGAACCAAGAGGTCACAGTTTAATTCCTGGTCAGGGCACATGCTCTGGTTGCAGCCTGATCCCCAGTAGCAGGGGTACAGGAGGTAGCTGATCAATGATTCTCTGTCATCATGGATGTTTCTATCTATCTTTCTCCCACTTCCTTCTTCTCTGCAATCCATAAAATCCTATATAATAAAAGCATAATATGCAAATTGTCCCCTCCACAGGGAGTTTCTCGGGGAGTGTGATGAGGGAGTGGCGCCCCTGAGGGAAGGGAGGACCTCACTTAACATAATACCCCAAGGTTCATCCACATTGTAATAAATGGCGGGATTTTCTTCTTTCTTGTGGATATGTTTATTAAGTTATGTTTTTTATTGATTTGAGAGGGGCCAGAAACATAGATTGGTTGCCTCCTGTACACATGGGGACAGGGATCAAACCTACAACCTAGTATGTACCCTGACCAGAATTGAACCCAAAACTTTTGGTGTACTGATGATACTCCAACCAACTGAGCCACCCAGCTGGGGCTGAAACTCTATACCTATTAAATGATAATTCCCTATTCCCCCTTCCCTGAAGCCCTTGGCAATTACTATTCTACTTTCTATATCTATGAATTTTTACAAATATATATGTTATTGATTTTTTTACAGAGAGGAAGGGAGAGGTATAGAGAGTTAGAAATATTGATGAGAGAGAAACATCAATCAGCTGCCTCCTGCACACCCCCACTGGGGACGTGCCCACAACCAAGGTACATGCCCTTGACCGAATCAAACCTGGGATCCTTCAGTCTGCAGGCCGACGCTCTATCCACTGAGCCAAACCAGTTAGGGCACCTATCTCTATGAATTTAATTACTCTAAGTATCTCATATGAAAACAGTGCTGGAGATGGATGGTGGTGATGGTTGCACAAAATATGAATATACTAAGTGCCACTGAAACTGTACACTTAAAATGCTTTTTTTAAAAAAAGCAGATAATTTCTGGAAGTGCTCAAATCCCTTGAGATACACCTATACATTGAGTGGCCAGATTATTATGACCGGCCAGATTATTATAACCACCCCATCAGTACTTCATTGACACTTCCAAAAATACTGAATATTGAAAACTTCCTAAGCAAATACTCTCAAGGTTTTATTATTATTATTATTTGCATAACTAATTCACTTCATTGTACTGATGGGGTGGTCATAATAATCTGGTCACTCAGTGTAGACTCCTCAGATTATACCCAAGTTTTGAGCCAAGCAGAGATTTTTTTGGATCGAATATGTGAAGCTCTGCTCGCCTATATTTCTAGGCTGGAGATTTTTGTTATGGTTACTTAATTCTGAAACTCAATTATGTGAAATTTGGTACCCTATAATATAGCCTTTTGCTAACGTAAAGTAACTAAGACAGTAGCAATGGCACAGGTGCTTCCTTGCTGGTATTCTTTAACGGACTGGGTTGGATGTCATTTTGCAGGAAGAAGAAGAAGCCCAGGCGAAGGCTGATAAAATTAAGCTGGCATTGGAAAAACTGAAGGAGGCCAAGGTCAAGAAGGTAAGCTATATATCACTTTTGCATGGGGAAGTTAAATTAATGGCATTTTATTATACTTCATTCCTAAAAAATAAAATGCCAAGTGCTACTTTCCAAATAATTATAATTTTTTAAATTTAAGGACACAGATAAATGATACAGGTCCTCTTCTATGACATCAGCTAGCTCCTTCGTGATTGATAAAAAGGAGACTTATGTTAATATACATGTGGACGTTTTCAAGCCTCTTCACCCAGGGTTCCCTCACATTCAAGGGGCCTCTTTGGTTCCGCTTCACTGTTAGCTAACAGCAGGGGGCGCCACCGTCTGGGCCCACCTTCACTGCGTCAGAGCTCAGCTTCTGTTGGCCTTGCCTCCATCTCAGCATTGCTGAGATTGCTTTTGTGCATTTTTCATATCCCCTGAGGCAGCCTCCAACCTCGCTGCCTGCCCTGGATGTCCAAGTTATTGCCCAGTAGTTCTCTGGTTTCAGGGGTGCATAGATTTGAGAGACCTGCCCCTAACCTTTTCCCCAATAAGCCTGTAGTTTTACTGTGCATTTTTTTGTAGAGCACAGGTTTTTCAGGAGTACATTCGTTATATTATAACAGAAACACCTGTATTTAACCTTAGTAGAAGCATATACCTAATTAAAGTTAATAGTGGTTAATTGATAGAGAGAAAGATGAAACAGTTTTGTCTTATTTCAGTTTCTGAAGCACATGCCATCTGATGCTGAGACTCCTTAAGAGCATCTCACAATGAAATGAGTTGGGTGAATCATTGTTTTCACATAGGGCATTGGACTTTATGTTCATGGTCCTTTGAATAAAAGTGCTCAATACATGTTGATTGATATTCAATAAATATTCCATGACTATCGCTGGATCCAGACTTATTTTTTTAATCGATTGATATTTAGAGAGAGAAAGAGAAAAACACACACGTCAATTTGTTGTTCTACTTATTCAAGCATTCATTAGTTGATTCTTTTTTTAAAAATACGTTTTTATTGAATTCAGAGAGAGGAAGGAAGAAGAAGAGAGAAATAGAAACATCAATGATGAGAATACTTGTCATTTTTTAATTTGACAATCTAAGGGAAAAGAGGTTAGTGCCCGTGACTAAGTAGTCAGGTATTGCATGTTTTAAAAATTCTTGTGGCACACCAGTTGAAAATTGATACTATATTGGATTAGAAAAGGGAAGCTTTTCATTCTTGAATCATTTTACCTATAGTGTATCACTGCAATTGAGCAGTGTTATGTGTTAGCATACATACTCTTCAGTTTGTAAATGAGATGGAAGCTGTGAAAAATAATAAATATGATTCATTCTTGATAAAAATTACCAGCCTTCTCTTGGTTTTCTTACTTTCTAAGTTTTATAATTAGGGGCACTCATAACTACATGTGGATTAAATTTAGTTTGTAATTTATGCAAAAAATCTTTCATCATTGTCAAATTAGGTGATTTATTTTTTTCTCTATATATAAAAATAAAACACCAGCATGTTTTATTTTCTCAAGATTTCCTAAGTAAGAATGAAATGTGGTCAAATATCATTAATTTTTCCATCAAGAAAATTAAGTCTTCTAAATCCCAGCATTGGCAATGTTTCCTAGGACATGAAGCTACATTATGGCAGTGATTTTCAATGGGTGTGCCGCAAGAACTCTTAAGACATGCAATACCTGACTATTTAGTCAGGAGCACTGACCTCTTTTCCCTTAGATTGTCAAATAAGAAAATGACTACAGCCAAGACAACAATAGCCATCCAGTGTGAATGAATCAAAATTATACCTTTTTTTTGTCAGATCAGCAAAAATTATATTTTTTGGTGTGCCACAGAATTTTAGAAATTCATTTCTGTGTGCTATGAGATGAAAAACATTGAAAATTGCTGCTTTATTGCAATAATTCTCAGCAGAGATCAATGGGTATGCCTTCCATAGAAAATAAATCATAGTAAAGACCACTATTTAAGGAATATTCCTTTTTCCGTGTGACCCTCTAGGCCAGTGGTCGGCAAACTCATTAGTCAACAGAGCCAAATATCAACAGTACAACGATTGAAATTTCTTTTGAGAGCCAAATTTTTTAAACTTAACCTGTATAGGTAGGTACATTGTTATTAGCTTAATTAGGGTACTCCTAAGGCTTAGAAAGAGCCAGACTCAAGGGGCCAAAGTACCGCATGTGGCTTGAGAGCCACAGTTTGCCGACCACAGCTCTAGGCCTTATTTCGTAAGTCAGGTGAATGTGTCTTTGGCACTGGACCTATCATTTTAAATGCAGCAGAAGACAAACATAAATGAAAGCAACTATCCACCTAGAGGTTTCTGAGCTACAGGTTTTCAAGGTGGAAAAGGTGTTCCTAGGAAGCCTGAATTTGAATGGTACCAGGAGCCAGAAATGCACTTCCTGCCTGATTTCTACATTTTGACACTTGGGAAGACAAGGGACTACATCCAAGCATGTCAAACTCGCGGCTCGCAGGCCGCATGCCTCGCTTATTTGGCCCATGTTAGCCTTTGAGTTTGACATGCTTGCACTACATGAAGCTTCCACCTGTGGTCCTTGCCTGCTTCTAACCCAGATTTTTATCACCGCCCACGCCCTTGGTTGCTATCAGTAGCTCTGCATAACAATCGGTGGGAACTGCGCCTTCGCTCTGTTGACAACATAATGTTCTGACAATCAGATTAGGTGGAAGTGGGACAGGAGGGGTAGTTTCCCAGCTTGTTCAGAATCTAACCCAAACTTTTAGGGAGGAAGAAATGTTACCATTTTTATGGCATCTTTCTCCAGTCCACCTCATCACTTTTTAAATAATGATGAGTCTCATTTGTGAATTACCATGACCAAACCTAGGGAAACAAAATAGGCAGAACTTGTCTGTAGCTATTTCACACTTCCCTTTCTAATTTTTCAAGTTAGAATAAAAATTTAAGCCCTAGTGGTTTGGCTCAGTGGATAGAGCGTCGGCCCTCGGACTGAAGGGTCCCAGGTTTGAGGGGGCATACCTTGTATGTTGATTGCAGGCTCAATCCCCAACCCTGGTCAGGACACATATGGGAGGCAACCAATCAATGTGTCTCTCTAACACTGATGTTTCTCTCTCCCTGTCTATCCGCCTCCCTTCCACTCTCTGAAAGAAAAAAAAAAGAATAGAAATTTAAGCAAGAGTATCAGATGGTTCTGGTTGGTGATGTTTACAGGATTTCTCTACTGGTTGTGTATGGAGTAGTTGTGTGCACTGCAGGCTGGGGATTGGGCAGTGATTGTCTTAGAGTTCTTGGGTTGCATGAAAAGGGACCCCCGCTCCAGCCAAACAAAAGAAAAGAATTTGTTACAAAGATACAGGTGTGGCTTCCAATCAAGAAATGCTTCCGGGCTCCAGGATGAACCTGAATAAGTAACAGACAAATGTCAGGAAAACAAGAAGTCAGCACTTCCTTGGTTCTGTTTGTCTTCTGCCTCCCTCATTAGAATGCAATCTCTTGCCGGGCAAGGACTTTGTTTATTGTACATTTTTCTATTTTGTGAATTGGTTTCTCCACCTCTATATTCCTAGCACCTTAAACAAGCGTTCAGAGTGTGAGTGAATTCATATTGAGTCCATTCGTGGGAAACTTTCTCATTTAAATTAGCAGAAGCAATAGCAACTTTGAAACCTTCAATCTTGGTGGCTTCTTCAGTGGCTGACATTGAGTGGCTGCTTTGTGGCTTTATCCTCAGCTGGTTGTCAAGGTGCACATGAATGATAACAGCACGAAGTCGCTGATGGTGGATGAGCGGCAATTGGCCCGAGACGTTCTAGACAACCTTTTCGAGAAAACCCATTGTGACTGCAGTGTAGACTGGTGTCTTTATGAAATATACCCAGAACTACAACTTGGTAAGTCCCCAAAATCTTTGGGTTTGCTTTACTATGGGTTTTTGTCTATTCAGAAGAGTTTGGTTGAAAGCCATCAAGACTTCCGAGTCATCACTTCCCTTCTGCCAGATTCAATTCTTGTCTCTTCATTTCTTAGTGAGGAAGAAATGAAGAGGCAAAATTGTAGCAGGTGGCAGACCTTGGGGAAAGTAAGCATTATTACTGTCACTCTCTAGTGACGCATTAGAGAAAGAAAGTAACAGGATGATACTTTGTACTGCATGCTTATAAGCTGAGCAGATTATGGACGGCCTGGCTGCTAATGTTTCTTTCGAGTTCCCATTTTTAACTATAGTTTAATTCTGCTTCACATCACTGTCCATTTTCCCTTTCTCCCTCCCACTCACCTAATGTCTGATACTTTGTCTAGCTGAAGAGGCTCTCCCCCAAAGAGCAAAGTAGTGTTGATAGAAATTGATCTACTTAAAAAAAAAGAAGAAGAAAGAAAAATTAAGGAAATACTGTTACTTCTCATTCTTAATACCACTCACAGAGCAATTATCTACCTGGAGAGCTTGGTGGCATAGAGAATTTCCTGCTTTAGAAGCTGTCAGAGACAGCAGGAGCCCTGCATGAGCTCTGGTGCTCTGGAAAGCTGGGTATGATTCAATTCTTGGTGGCGGAGCAGACCGAGAAGCCATGCGAGGTTGTGGATGTATAAGAATGAGTCTTTATTGTAAAAGCCAGTGGGCCATATAGCCATCAGACAAAACAATTCTCCACAGCAAAGTCCATTCCGGCAGGCAGCCTGACGCTGGCTGGTTAACATGTACCTCTTCCCACAGAAACAGGATTAGTCTCTGTACCCACAACTATTATCTGAGCAGCCGCACACTGTCTCCTAGACTCACCGCATCACCTCATAGCGGTACCTGAGCTCTCTGGCTCAGCAGCTTCTCCTCTCTCCCCTGCCCAGCACACTGCCTGGTCTCCGTAGCCTCGCATAGTAACTACCTCTGAGCTTCTCTCTCCCAGCACACTGGCTGGTTAACATGGTAGCTATATCTGAGCTCTCTCTGAGTTCTTAGCCTTACATCATAGCAATACCAGCTCTCAGCTCTGGCTGAGCTCTTTTCTCTACTGCACACATAGGAGCAACATCCTCTGTGCTTATCACCTCTCTTCCCTGAGCTCTCTAACCTCAGCTCAGCTGCTCTCTCTCTAGCAGACTCCTGGTCAAAGAAGGCTAAGTTGCCAACAATGACATCAATCATTTTGGCTGCAGAAGGGCACAGTGTACCGTGTGTCCTTGCACCTGCTCATGGTATCTTGGCCTTGGGCACCCCGATTAGGCTCATGTTCAGAGCGGCCATGGCCATTCTGGTGTATTGACAACAAGGCCTCCGTGCTCCCATTGGTCTTGACTATCCGAGGATCCTGACGTGGTTCCCACAGAAGCTTTTAGAGAAATTTTTTTCTGGAGGAAATGGCCTACACTGAAAGAACCTCTTGAAGTTTTTGTCAACTCTGAGTCAAGTACAAAAGTGAAAGCCTTCCGTTATGTTTAGGTTTGGTTCCAATATTCATGTATTGTTTTAAGAGTTTAAGGAATGATGTTTTAGAGTGCTTATCGCATATCTCACAGTTGTTTAAACCAATTATTGCCTAATTGCCCTCCTCACAGAGAGAATGTTTACCTCTACCTGAAACTATTTACAGTAAAAAATCCAATGGCTGACCATTATTACTATAGTGTAGGTTCATTTACCATGTTTTTTATGGAAAATAAGTTGAAGACCTGATACACTAAAGAGTTAATGTAACAGGAATGTTACAATGTGACATCATCTAAGAAATAGGAGTTTCTAAAAACCTGTGTGAACAGACTGTAAAACTATAGCAGGAGGGTAGGGGAGGGTTTGGGGGGTAAGAGATCAACGGGAGGACTTGTATACATGCATGTAAACACTACCAACAAACGCAAGAAACTGCGGTGGGTGGGGAAGGTGAAGGCATGTGACAGGGGGTAGGGGAGGCTGGGGTGAGGTCAATGGGGAAAAAAAAAAGGAGACATATGTACTACTATTTGTAATACCTTAAACAATAAAACTTAAAAAATAAAAATGAAACCCTGTGTGAAGTATGAGGCATTGTGCTTAATACTGTCTTGTTTTTCTTATTTCATCAGAAAGGTTTTTTGAAGACCATGAAAATGTTGTTGAAGTCTTATCAGACTGGACAAGAGACACAGAAAATAAAGTGGTATTTTTGAAGAAAGAGGAAAAATATGCTGTATTCAAAAACCCCCAGGTAAGATAACTTGTATATCAGTAAGCCATATAAAAAGTGGAGGGTTTTTTAAATGTCACCTGTGGAATTCATTCTTGTATGAATGAATTCAAACGAGTAACTCCAGATAATTGCATCATTCATTACCTCACAAAATATCACAAATGTATTCCTTTCAAAGAAGCATAAACTCAACTCTTAGGCCATATGAATACCAAGAGCCCTTTGAGAAATCCAGAAAGAAAATAACCCATTTTGATTCATCACCCAAAACACATCAATCCATTGACTAGTCCTTCTGTTGTGTCCTTATTTCTCTTTGGCTACATTAATTCTATATACCTCTATGCACCCTGGGCCATTAATGCTTCATATTTTGAAGATATTGCTTTCTTTGTGCTTCATATTTGGTGCTTATTGATGCTGGGATGACCAAAAGGCACACCTGGAAAATACACAACTTCTTGTGCTTTAGTTCTATAGTCTACGTAATAAAAAGCATTATTCTCCATATTTGAAAAACTTCCTTCAAGTTGTGTCTACAAGGATGTCACAGAAGTCTAGGCTTTCCCACTGTGGCCTCCAGCCGACTGTAATTGCATGATGGTCATTAAGTCTTTTCAGGAAAGTCAAAGAATTTAACTATAGTAGACCCAGATGAGAGCCTTGGATCTCCAGACAGCTTTAGATATTACAGGTTAAAAAAAAAAAAAACCCCAGGTCTCATTTACTATAGTCAGAATTAAAGGATACTCTAGAGCAGCTTTCTAATAGGAAAATGTTCTTTCCCCTGTACTGTGCTTTCCTCAAGGGTCTTCCCTAGTTGTGTGGTGGCAGACTGGCAACAAAGCAATTAAGTACTGTTGTTTGTGACAAATAGCAAACAAAAATACAAAGTCTTCAAACCATAACTGCCTTCAACCCCACACTTTAACGCCTCTGTTAGTTAGAATGCCATCTGAACTAGAAGCTTATTTCTTCCTCACATACCAGCCCAGACATAGGTTGGAAGATATAGTAGAATGGTTCTGCCACGCTGAACTTTCATCTCTAGATCTGAGGCTGCTTTCCACTTGACCATTTCCAGTCTGTATAAGGAGGGGAAGAGCCAGGGGAGTACACCACCAGACTTCTTACTGCAGAGACCTGGAAATGGCCCTTTTACTTTGCTCATATCCCATTGATCAGAACTTAGTTACATGGTGATATTGAACTATAAGGGAAGCTGAGAAATGTGGTCTCTACCAGAACAGCTGTTACAGGCACCTCTCACAGACACCAGAGAGATGTTGTTGAACATCCTCCTGAGTCAGAGGGTGGGGTCTGGGGAGTGGGGAGGGCAGGAGGGAGGGCTGTCCTCTCCTCAATTCCTGTCTTGTTGTATGAATAATTCAAACGAGTAACTCCAGATAATTGTGTTAAATTTATCAGGATAGTAAAACACACATTTATCAAAGGAGCAAAGCAAGTAAATTTATCATCTGGCATAAAGTGTAAATGGGTTCTCTCGGCTAATCTGAGGAGCGAGTTGGGGGGGGGTGCCTTATATATTTTTCTATCTGTAGATTTTTTAAATTCCTCTGCCAAATATCTTGGTACAGATTAAATTTCAAGATCCCCCTTTTACTTTGTTGTACTTCCCGTGATTTGTGATTATCTTTCCAAGCCCCAATACTGCTGGCTTTTTTGTCCTTGGAGATACATTAATGATTTGCTCTCAAGTGTCCTTGGCTGGGAGAAGGTAAGGGTTTAATATTTGCAAGCTGGCTGCAGGCTGTCAAATTGTTTGGCTTTGTTTAATTTTCTTGTCTCAGTTTCCCTATTCCTCCTGCCTTGGAATTTTTCTAGCTTCTTGCCATCCTGTAACACAACCACACACATAGCTAAATTTGGGAAGTTACATTCAGGGCCACTCCTCCATATTGAGTCTATAAGAATAGTACCCAGCGAGAGAACCAACATGGCAGCAGGCATGGGAGCAAGAGTAAGAATATGAGTGGGTGAGTGGGGGTGAGGGAGAGTGTCAATGGGTATGAATGTGGATGGGCATCTGTTGGTCAGTGGGGGAACTACAGTCAGGCTATTTGGGTGCTCCTGATGGAGGAGCTGCCGGCCACTGCCGCATGCTGCTCAATCAGGCACTTCTCTCTGCTTGTAATTGGAGAGCACGCCATTTAGGAGGATCCCCAGGGTCCTCCTCAGGAGGAGACTGCAGGGAGCAGCCATGTCCTAGGTCCCTTAGATGACAGACAAGTGCACACAACCCCACTGCTGGGACCCAATGCCCCCAATCACACAAGACAGTTTTAGCAACCCAGCATGCTTGAACCTTGGCCCCCGGACAAACTGTCCCCTGCCTTGATGGGCAGTCTGCGCTGACACCTTGGTGATCTACATGCCAGCTTGCCCTGCCCCTTCAATCAGCGGAGCACCTGCCTGCCCCTCTGCCTTGACCAGTGGAGTGTGAGACCTGCCCACCCCTTGGAACATTGGAACACCTAGCCCACCCCACCTCCATCACTAGCAGACCCCACCCCACCTTGCCTCCTCTACCAGCTGAGTGCCCAGCCCCCTCTCCTCACTCATACTACCAGACTGCTAAAATGGGGAGACAAAGAAACAACCCTAAAATGAAAGAAAAGGAGGACTCGCCAGAAAGGTAACTAAATGAAATGAAGGCAAGCGATTTGTCAGATAAAGAACTCAGAGTACTGGTTAAAAGGATGCTCAAACAACTGAGAACTACAAGCAACTTAATGGGAACTATAAGGAACTCAGTGAGAACGACACTAGCATGAAAAAAAGTAGAAACAATGAATAAGAATCAAGCAGCAGTTAAGAAGAACATAGCTGAACTAAAGAATATCCTGGAGAAAAGATGACAACCAGCAAAAAAGTAGGAAGGGAGAATGTGTGAGAGAGTGAGGGAGCAATACAAGAGTGTGTCTACATGTGTGTGGGGTGTGTGGGTGTGTGTGTGTGTGTGTGTGTGTGTGTGTGTGTGAGATAGAGACAATCAGATCCTACAAGTCTTCCAGGGGGCTGCCAAACAGAGCAGTCTTAAAAGGCAAAACCCCGCTGCCACCACAAACACTCCGGGGAGAACACCGCTGGCACAGAAATCATGCCATCATGAAGAACATGCTTGAGACTAGGATCCTAGCCTCGCCACCACCCAATCTGGTCTCAGATGCAAACTGGGACCCTACAGCCACTCAGGTAAAAGACCTGTGACCACAGCTGCAGACCCAGGGAGACCAAGACTCCAGGCACCCCAGCCACAGATTTCTGTGAGTCACAGAGCCCATCCCCCACCCCACCAGCCCTCTGCAGCTATGTAGGAATTGCTAGACCTTATCTGTGTAAGCAAGCCTCCTGCCCACACAGGGAGGCTGTGCTGAATTTGAGTCTGGGCACATGGTCACAGGGAGTTTGTTTCCCGCAGTGCGTACTCCCGCAACCAGACCCCGGGCCCACTCAGGGCAACTGTGCCACCTGACTTTGATTCTGGCTGAGGGCACATGGAAGTCTGTCTCCCACGGTGCAGGAGTGGACCTCCCACCGACACAGGGCAGCTGTGCAACCTGGTCCCCCAAGCAGACCCTCATTCTACATGTGTGTGTGTGGGGGGTGGACCCTCATTCTGGTGGACCCTCAACCTGGTCCCCCAAGCAGACCCTCATTCCTCATGTGAGGGTCTCGTGTGGACCCTCATTCTCCACACGAGAGGCAGCACTGAGCACCAGTGACTTCACTCTGTTTCTCATCACCCACACATGGGTTCCCTGATTCTGCGTACACACACACTAAGAGCCAGTGACTCCAATACTCGGTGCATGCGCACACAGGGACCTGATTCTCAGCGCGAGGCCACACCAAGCAATAAATACTACAATACTCAATTCTCAGTGCAGGAACAGGGGGACACTGACTCCTGGTGCATGCTAGGGGACTCTGATTTTTGGCACACAACAGCAGAGCCTCTTTTTCAGCACCATGCAGGTGGGGTCTCTCATTCTAGGTGTATGCACGAGGCCACACTGAGTGCCAGTGACTCTTATCCTGGGCTAGCGGGGCTCCCACAGACCCACGGCAGCCACATGTCTTGGTGTCAGAGCTCTTCAGTGACAGGTGGTGCAAAGCTCCCACAGCACATGACCCAGGCCACCACAACTTGGTGATTGGACCTTCTGGTGATAGTTAGAATGGAGAGACAATGAAGCAATGCCCAGAGGAAAGAAAAAGATGAATCACCAAGAAAGGAAATAAGTGAAACGGAGGCAATCAACAAGACAGAAAAAGAATGCAGAGTAATGGTCATACAGTTCATAAAATGGATGGACGAGAATATCGACAACTTATGCAAAAATCAGAAAGAAATCAAAAGTGATATAGCTACAATCAAAAACACCATGGAAGGTTTCAACAGTGGACTAGAAGAAGCAGAGGACCAAATTAGTGTGTTAGAAGAAAAGGTAGAGAAACAAGCCCAATCTGAACAGCAACTGGAGAAAAAAATTAAAAAGCAGGAGGAGAGCCTAAGGGAGCTTTGGGACAACACAAAACAAAGTAACATATGTATAATAGGGGTGGCAGAAGGACAAGAAGAGCAGCAAGTTTTAGAGAATCTATTTAAAGAAATAATGACAGAAAATTTCCCTGGTATGGGGAAGAAAAAAGTTACACAAGTACAGAGTCCCAAGCAAGATGAATCCCAAAAGACCCACACCAAGACACGTCATAATTACAATGGCAAATGTTAACGACAGAGAATCTTAAAAGCTGCGAGAGACAGAGAGTTACTTACAAAGGATTCCCCATCAGATTATCAAATGATTTCTCAAGAGAAACAAGAAACACATCAAGCTAGAAGGGAATGGAATGAAGTATACAAAGTGATGCAAAGCAAAGGTCTGAATCCAAGAATACTCTATCCAGCAAGACTGGATATTCAATTCATAAATGAAGTGGTGCAAGCCAGAAATGCAAGAAATGCTAAAGGGAATGTTGTAAAAAGAAGA